CGAAATCGATCAACTATTCGATCAGGCAATGGTTGGATATCATCATTTGATAAACGTTTGAATAACGTCAAATGACTTGTAAAGTTTTGATCATATGCAATCTTTTTTAGTCGCTTGTTGACACCTAAAGAGAGAAGTAATTCAAGCTGATTGAGTTTTTGGAAAATAATCATAAGAATTTCATCTGGCAAATCATCCAATTGAATACAAGAATGTTCCATGTTTGTTCTTGTTCGACTGTTTCAATATCTTATGTATGTGACTATTTATATGCATATGCTCATTTCCTTTTTTGTGACCATTGTCAACGACCGCCAATGAGAACAATGGCACATTTTTCTATAATCTCCATTGGCGAACAAAAAAATAAATGAAAAAAAAACGTCGTTCTCTTTCTCTTTCTTTTACATGTTAATGGCAATTTATTGAATATGTTGATTTAAAATGATAATATGATAGACAAAATTGAAAGCTTTTTTTTATTAAACAGTCATGTTGAGAAAACATAGAAAAAAAACTTTAGTCATGTAATTTTGTTATAAGCTTCAATCATTCCAATCTTTATTCTTCTTCAAAATCAGTGGGTACATCATATTGTTTCGCATATTGTTGCTGATGATATGCATGTGTATCATTTTGCTGTTTGTTTTCCTCTTCTTGTGCATTATGTTTTGCTTTTTGTTCATTTAGAAACTTATTGAGTGCACCAATTACTGCTACTGCTTTTTCGATAAATTGATCAATATTTGTTAAAACCAAGTTTGATGCACTAGAAAAACAATAATGCCTTTGACCAAGAAGTGAATTGAAACTTACTTATCGAGTATGGTGAAATCTTTCAACGAAAACTCACCGATGAAAGGTTCCTTTTCAACCTAAATTTGGAAATTATATTCATTATTCATTTTTTTAGTACTCCTCCTGCATGTATGCACTGTACAAGTTATCGGTGACGTCGTGACAACCTCTGATTGTTTTCCCATCTTTAATGTATTCCATTGGAATTGAATTATTAGCTTTTATTAAATCAATATATTCGCTCGTCTAAAGAATGAGTAAGTTCAATTGGTTTTCGAAAATTCATACATATATATCCTTGATTGACAACCCGAAAGCCTTTCTCTACCATTAAACAATGGGAGATTACGATCAATTCATAGACTAACGTCAAACCAGAGTGTTTGTAAAAACCTAATGCTGTTTCGAGTAATGGATGAGAATCCATATCTAGAAGTTAAAAAAACTAATAATGGACCATGATTGGTTTTGAAAAAAAACCAAGT